AGTCAGGTGGCCTGGGTTCAAATTTTGACTCTATTGTTTAGTAGCCAAGTGATCAGAAGAGTTTCTCAACTTCTATAAGCTCATTTCTTCACCTATAAAATTAAGATAATAATCATACCTACATTATAGAGGAGTCTATGAATATTTATGCTACCTGTAAGAATAGCACCTGGCACATAGTAGGTGCTCAATAAATGTTTGCTAGATTGTTACCAGTCCTTATGGCTCCTCACAGAGAAATGGAGGTCGTATTATAGTTTGCCATCAACAGATCTGTGTTCATATTTCTGTCATTTACTATCAAACACTGAGGGCAAATTATTAAGAATTTTACATGTCAGTTTCTTCCTCTGGCAAATATAAATAATAATATGTAGATAATAGGCACAAAACCAATGACAAGGTGTGGTATGCTGTTGGGGCTCAGTATATGCTAACTATTATTATTTGGTCCTGATGGCTGAAGGTCTAGAAGTTTCTGCTATGACAACAGTGTTCCATATCAATGCTGTATAATATGATAGCCATTAGCCACACTTGAAAGGTGGTTAATACAACTAAGGAACTCAATGTTTAATTTCACTTAATTTTAACTTAAATATGCACATGTGGGTTGTGGTTCACATTCATTGAACAGCACAGCTGGGTTGTTCAGTCCTTATCCTGTCCTCTCCATATTCTTTCTATGCACATGTCATGTCCATCTCATTGCCCTCTAGTATCTATACCAGGGATTTGGAAAAGAGCAAAGAGCGGGCATAAATGTAGATTTGGGCAGGTTCATAGGTATTGTGGCATAATTGAAAGAAAAAGTCAGTGAGTCTGGGGGACCATACCATTCCCAGTGCTGTGCACTGCCCTTGGGCAAGTCATTTAGCCTCATCTTCAAAAGAGAGGTTTGATACTGACATGATATCAAAGTTCCCACTCATCATATGCTCACTATAAGGAGAAGATAAGAAATACTACAGAAACTTTGATTGCTTTTCGGGTTCTATGAGTTGCATTTAGCTATGATCAGTGTCTATCAGATTTAAAGATGAGTTATGTAAGTGTTGCTGTACAAACTAATATAAATGAATAGGCACAGATAAAAAAGAAATTGAGGCCAAAGAGAAATTAACCTCAGAACAAAGAAAGGGGATTTTGATGAAAAAGCACATGTGTTCTGTCAGAGCAGAGTGCTCCTGCCATACCTTTCTGGAGAGATGTGGCTTTGTGACAGTGTGGGCCAGCATGGAGAGTGCTGGGGAACACTTGACTAGCGAAGACTTTGGATATATAAACCCATAACTCAATTTATTGTCTCCAGCTGAGTACCAAACCTAAAGGAAATTCTGCAAAACAGATCTCAAATCCACACTGAGTAGAAAGAGCACAGGACAGGGAACCTGGAGGCCAAGATTCCATTCCTGGATCCCTGACCAACCACCTGGGTGACCCACCCTTAATCTTGCTAACTTCTTGGAGCCACAGTTTAATCATCTACACAGTGAGTTGGTTGGACCCTTCTCCTGGCAACTTGAAAAATCTGTGATTATGCTTAGAACCCTAGAAATTTCAAAGATGCTTTTCTATGCCAGGAACCTACACTGTGAGAAATTCCAGGAGCTAAACCTGGTAACAATTCACACACACATACACACACACACACACACGCACACATTTTCTGTTAATCCTGCTGAAGAGGAGGCCACGCCCTATCTAATATGACCCCACAGTCCCTATCTGAAGCAACATATGGACCATAGGTGATGGTACCTACTTGGTTATAAACATAATTGTGATGATTAGCCTTGATGGTACCCAAGGACTTTTTTTAGATTTTTTAAATAAACAGATCAAAGCAATTCTTTGCATTATCAGGTTGTTAGTGGTGGTGGTGGTAGTGGTGTATTTGTGTGTATGTTAAGGCAAAATGGGAAAGCTCACCTGCTTCTATGACTGTTGAAATATAATAAACACTATTCTCATTGGAAAAGTGCTGGTTCATAGCAGGAGAAAACCGTGACTTTCAGAAAAGGAAAACTGGTGAAAAGCATCCAGATAATTGAGTTTATCAATCTGTTTGGCTCTGAATCCTCTTTCTCTGCCATTTTCATAGTCTCTAAGTTCACAAGTTGTTTTGAAGCTCAGCTCCCTCTCTTTTTCCCAAGGCAGCTGTGTGACAAATAATACCCCTTGCCTCTCTCCCCAAACAACAGAAAATGTTGGTTTTGGAGAACACCTGGGGAGTATTCCCCAGACATGCACACACCATTTTCAGACCAGGAAGTCCCTTTGAGGTGGTACTCACTGGACCCTGAACCCCAATCATCTCAGGAAGGAAATTAAGAAACTGCAATGTTAGCTGAGTCCATTGCTCATATTCATTCTGGGCTGCTGCTCCTCCTTGCTGCCCCTCCAGCACCCAGGCTGGCTATACTCTACACAAGAGCAATCTCCCCTGCAGCTTTTACTTCCTGGTGACAGCCTGGCTGCCCTAGTAGGAGAGGATTTTGCTCTTTTGTTGGGGCCCTTGCAACTAAATTTATGGCTCTTTTATTAGGTTGGCAGGTGCTTTAAGTGAGGGAGGAAAGAAGTGGCATAGCTTGCAATGTAGTTTCCATTTGGAAAACAAGGAAGGAGAAGTATTTATCCACAGTCATTTTCTGCTGAAAGCTTGCAAAAGTTTTCTCACAGCCTTTTCTGCTGAAGGCTTGCAAAAGTTTTCAGGCACCATTAAGAAGGGATCTTCTCCCTGCTTCAGGCCTAGGTTTCTGGAACATTAAGGCTAGAGGGAGTCTCTAAGATCATGAAAACTTCTGCTGGTGGGAAAGGGCCCTAGAGAGAAGCTAAATAACATGCCCAAGATCCCACATTGCACAGTGAGTCAGGCTCCAACACGAATGCCGGGATAAACTAATTTCCCTGCATCTCACCACTGCCGCTCCCTACTTTCTGTTTATCTCAGTTTCTCTCTCTTTTCTTCCCTCCTCTTTATCATTTTCAAAAGGAACCTTTTTCGGTGGGCCTAGGAAGAAACAGTAAATCTCTGGAAGAGACAAAGAAGATTGCCAGCCTGTTTTCTTGCCTGCCTTCCTCCCTCCACTCCTTCCTCTTGCCCTTCCCTTCTTCCCCATTCTTTCTTTCTTGATATTTACTGTTCTGTCTTTTCCCAGGAAATAAAACTGCTTTTTAAAGAAAAGTATCTGTGCATGTGTGTATGTGTGTGTATGTATGTGTATGAAGAGAGAGTGTGTGTGTGGAAGAGTACGTGTGTGTGAAGTGTGAGAGAGTGTGTGTAACCATGACTATGTATCTTTCTGGAATAAGCCAAACACAAATGTGAATGGCTTTCCAAGCAAGCGAAACATATAAAATGATAGTTTTATTTGCCGATTCCTTGAAAACCTTAAAAATCAGTGTGTGGACAAATTATTCATGCACCACAAACCCTGGGTTGCTGCCCTTCCTTGTGTTTTTCGAGATCATCCCATTTCCTTCGGGCTTCTCCCGGCTCTCCTCCAATCCACTCCTACCCTTGCCAAGTTGTCTCTTCCATTATTAGTCATCCTAATAAACACTCCTAATAAACACAAACCCTATAAACCAATCCAGGATGCTGCTTTTGGCTCCTCTGCTGCCTTTAGAAAAGACTGATACCTGCATTAACTTTGTCATCTGTCCTGGAGAAACCCAGCTGAGATCTCTAACATATTCTGCTGCAAGCTGCAATATAATGGACATATTTAGTGTACATTCTGTTGTTAAATGGAATCTGCATTTCTAAGTGAACTAAAATGCTTAATTATTAATAAGTTCCCCAGGGATTAGTGACATTTAGGATGATTTTATCATGCTGTAGATATTTAACAACACAATACGTATGGTGGTATCAAATTCAACCTCTTTTGTTTAAAAGAGCATTCCTCCCAAAGTCATTTGGATTCATACGCTATGTAGATTAGTCTCTGAGCATCCAGACCCAGGTAGAGGGAGAGGGAAGTTACTGAAAAATGGGATGAAATTGAAGCTGGGGCAATAGTGCAGGGAGGGGTGGAAAGAGGCACCAAGGAGCCTCATCCTGGGAGCTGGAATTGGTTGGGGGTGGGCTACAACAGGAGCTTTCACTGAGGCGGAGGCAATGGTGGCAATAAAAAGTTAATGGAAAGATCACAGGGCTAGGAATTAGGGCGCCAGTCTTCCAGTTCTGCACCAATTTGCAGCATGACTCTGAGCAAATTACTTTACCTCTCAGAGAGAGTTTTCTTCTACATATGAAAGGCATAATTGCACCTTCCTTAGCTACCTTATAGAATTGTGAGCAAGGTAAATAAAAATACCTTTCATATACCTTGCTCCAACAACTTAAGCATTTCATAACAAACAAATTCAAAGGTGGGGAAAAAGGAAATAGCATTCACCAAGCACTGTCTATGTGCTAGAGGTTGTTTCCAATACTTTTACAAACATGAAGTCAATTAGCCTTTGCAAAAAATCTGAGTCAAACCTGACTGCTCCCATTGCAGAGTAGGAGATTGAGGTTCAGGGCCTTTGCCAAAGGTCACAAAGCTAGTGGCTGAGTCAGGCTGAAAACCTAAATGGAACAGGTACATATTTGAGCAGACAATATGTGAAGGAAAATGGGTCACAACTTTAATTTTTAAATAGGAATGTTCCATCAACCTAAACATGTGGTGACTTACACATGGTGATATGCATTATCACAACATATGAACATTAACATGAAATTTTAATTATTTTGTCATCCTTCTAATTCCTGGCACAGTTCTGATATTAAGGAAGGAAAATCTCTTAGTGTCAGAAATAGATTTTTAAATAAAGTAAATGTTTAGAAGTCCTGCCATTAGGTTTGTAGGATCTTGATCTGTTGGTAGTGGATTGAATTTAACACTCATTACTTCCTTATTCCTGGAATTTCACTACGAGACTGGCTTTGGATGGCGTTTCAGACTCCAGTAGTAACAATTATTTATCTTTCCTCCATTCTTGTTCAGCACCCTGCGTTCTCCCCAGGATGGTGGAGAGCTCATTTGCATACAAATGCTCAGCACATTGTGGGTCCTGGTTGGCAGCGTTCAGCCTGGAGATAAAGTTATTGATGGCTGTTTATAAGAGAGACAAATTGGAGCAAGGTTTGGAGCAAGAGACCAGAAGCCAGTCCATCACCTGCTCCCTCGGTGACCTCACGTCACCTCTTCATGCTTCAGTTTCTCCATCTGTTGGTGGAAAGAGTGATACATGATACCTTGCTCTCAGACTGTCAGGAACATCTTTGGAAAACACTAGGAGATGCTGGAAGAGGCCTGAAAGCCTTCATAGTCCCCTAATGTGATAAAAATAAAAACTCGTCTGATGGTTTACAAATTTCAGAAAATATGTTTTTTCTCTCAAAATTAGAAGATAAAAAAGTACTTATATTTCTTCATTCATTGGTTGAGAGTGTTTTATTAAATCCATATCTGTGGCTGGACCTAATGATCCATTTAAATATAAACAGATAACCTGCTGAAGGTGCACAAGTAGATTCTTTTATTAATAATAGTTAACTTGGCTACTGTGAAATGCATTTCTACACTATGTTTAACATTTTTAGCATGCTTCCGCTCTCGCCCTCACTACACACTCACACACACTTCCCAATGGTAGAATGGCAGATAAATGGCATCATGTCCTTTATTTTACAAATGAGAAAATGTAAACTGGAAGAAGCCAAGTCCATGCAGATAATTAGGGACAGAGTTAGAAAAATGTAAGCCTCAAAATCCACTGCTTATCCCTCTCAACTTCATTTTCTAGAACCCTGAAAACTGGCTTTCTCTCTTTCTCTCTCTCTCTCTCTCTCTCTTTCTGTTTTTTTTTTTACATCCTTTTTGTCCCCCTACACTTACTGATCTCACAGGGCTACAGGTGCCTTCTCCATGTTCCTTCTCTAGGAAGGCTTCTAAAGCAACACTCTCATCTCTGAGGTTATCAAGTAAAGTTTGCAGGAAAGTGAGAGCTCAGACATGACTGTTTGCTTGTTAAGCTTGTTCCTCATTGCAAGCCCGGAGAAAAACCTGCTGAAAATCATATTACCGCGTCACTGGGACCTCCAGAATGCTCTAAGTGGAGGATCCAGTCATGCTGCACAAGTAATCTGCAGGCTGAAATAGCTGCGTCGTGATGCTATTACAGACATGAGCCTGTTTTGTATGAGCTTCTAAAGTGTAGGCAGGCTTAAGAATCAGAAGGGAAAGCATGGGTTGAACACCAAAAGAGCACCTTAAACTAATATTTTTTTCACGTAGTGAATTAAATTGTAAAGCTTATTAGAAACTGATGAAGAAGCACAGAAATGCTATAGCAGATGAGGTTCCAACTCCATCGTTCACACACATCCAACAACGACTTAATTCTCTGTATCCCGTTTGCCAACCCAGTCTGCTTTTATTCCTTCCCAGTAAGTGCCTCCCAGTACCTGCCCAGTACCACTCAGCCAGAAAAGTTTCCTGAGATTTTTTAGTACTGAAACAAAGAGGGCTGCAAATGGGAAACCCAGTACAATAGACAGCCAGCTGCTGCTGGCCGTGGCATGGCTCCCCAGGCTCAGACGGAAAGAATGAACCCACTCGAAGACGCTCCTGTCTGCCCCACTTGAGGCACTACTACTAGGGCCGGCATCCCTGGGAAATTGCCCTGTAAAATGAGCAGCTCCCTTTCAATAGCAGACTCCCAGCTGCTTCCCACCTCGGAGGCTGCTATTGGGCATGACATGGCAGTCCTCCTGGCCTGGCTCGCTCTCAGCAGGACTATTAGGAGCCTGGGCTGGGAGGTACAGGTGGGTGGGGGCAATGCAGCAGCCCCAGGTGGCACACCTGCCCTTTGCATGGCCCTCTCCAGCTTTAGGTTGACGGGGCTGGTGTTGGGCGCCCTTTCCAAGTGTATTGATCTCCCCTCCTCTTCCCAAGTTGCGCCATGCACCTTCACCCACGCTAAAGCCCTGCCTGGAAACAGAACACTGTGGCCAGCCCTTCCCCCAAGAGCCAGAAGGGCCAGCTCTGGCCCACAGCCAGGCTCTAAAGAAGCAGCATAGGGCAGAGAGAGGCAGTGGGTGGGGCTGAGAGCCTTGTGTTACACATTCAAAGCCTAATTTTGGATCAGAGTCATCCTTGTAGCCAAGCCTGAAAGATCACTGAGGCCCCAAAGTGAACCCACAGCTCTGAGGCGGGGCCTGGATGAACCCTCAGCTCTCTTGCCCACATGCTACTCTCCTTAGGGAAGTTAAGTTAGGCTTGTTTGGGTTTTTGCTGGTGTTTTTTTTAACAACATCATTTGTCTTTTAGCCTCACGCTCACCGAGGGCAGCGCAGTTTCCTACCCCTATCTCTGTATACATTCACAAAATGCCTCGGCTGAGATGCTGACCAGAAGCCAGGGCTTCTAATGCTACTGCCTAGGACATGCCATTCTGCTGCTGGTCACAGCAGTCAGACAATAGGCCAGTCGCACGAGGGCAGCTGCAGGTGAAAGCAGGCACCTTCCCATTAACAACAGAACCAACTGTCTCTGGCATGGAGAGTCCTGCCAGAGGGGAACCAGACCCGAACCAGCTGTGGCCTCTGGAAGCCACAGGAGAGAGCAGGGCTGCTCCCTCTTCTTACAAGGGTGTGGGCACTTCCTTCAGAGAATTTGTTGCTGCCAAGATCAGGCTGTTGCCTCCCTGGAACTCGGGTATCGGGATGCTTGTTTGCAGAGCTGGCCAGCCAGCAGCCCAGAGCAGCTGGTTGTAATTATGCGTTGCAGCTTCAGAGGAAGTTGCTGGCTGCGGAGCGTGTGCTGGGCCTGGCTGCACATTGGCTGCTGGGCTTAAGGGAACAATGGAGATAGAAACCAGTGGCAGCAGGGAAAGGGGAGGAGCAGGACGAGGGTGAAGACAGGCAGAAAGAAAGGGCAGGAGCTGCTCCCAGCGATGAATATGGAAAAACCCACATCTGCACTCCAAGGATCCTTCTCTTGTTCCCAGACTTAAAACAAAGTGCATGCCCCTCTGTGAACAGCCCCTGACTTTTCTTTTTAAGCTGTACCTGATGCACACTGTATTTAGAGAAGTGTGCCTGGCTGACATATTGAATAGCACTCCTCAGCCTGTTTAATCTAAATTGACTGCATCTTTGTAGCAGCTGGCCACAGAGAAAAACAAAAGAATTCATGATGAAAAAGGCGAATCTCTCTTGAACAGAAAGGACCGGGGTAGTGGTAGCAGCAGTTAAACATTTCAGTACCTTGCTGAATACTGTGCCCAGATGTGTACATCAGGAGGAAAAGAAAAAAAAGACAACTTTAGAGAAGTGAAATGTGGGTTAATTAACAAGTTTTTTTTTCCTGGATGGAGAAAAACTTATTAATATCTGGTTCTTATACTTTCCAAGATTTCTTCAGTGCTTCCTAATTAGAACGTAGCAGGAAAACGAACAGAGGAAAATAAGTGACTTGTTGGGGGTGGGGGGCTTTCTTCCTGCTGCCTGTGTTTGGAGCCTCCCCCCATGCCCCTCAAACCAGCAAAGATCTTCAAGTATTTATGGACAGTGACATCTACTTAGTCCTTCTGTGGTCCCTTCCTCCTTTCAGTTGAGAGCTTGCTTATAGCATCCACACAGCTCAGAATCCCCAAGAAAGTATGCAGAATCCCATGTTTCTGCCAGCTCAGGGAATAAGTTGAAGGCCCCAAACCAGACAGTGCAAAGGCCTGAGAGTCTTGTGGCCTCTTGGTGACCCCTCTTTACTTGTACCACTCCTGATTTATGTTGCTTTAAAAGGGCGGGTGTCCTACCTGTTATTTGGCACCCTTGATGTATAAAACTGACATCCACGCACAATGACACACTATTGGCTTGGGTTGGTAAATGAGGAGGCAATTTCATTATCTTTTCCCCTCGTCCATTGCCTAGCACAAGATTACTTGAAATGCTATCAATCAGTAGATATGAATGCAGGGAAGTGCCCAGCTTGTGTGTGGGCATGGCAGCCTTGTGCCCTAATGATTACAGAAAATAAATGATGATGCTATTGTCTTTAGGACGGATTGCAGGTTCTCCTTATTGCCTGAGTAAAGAGATTATGGTGACAGGTCAAAAGGATTTTTCCAGTAAGTTCCAAGTAGGTACTATTTTTTCTTCATTTTCCTTCCTTCTCTTTCCTTCCACTTTGGTCCTAATTTTTTTTTTTTTAGCAGAGTCTCACTCTGTTGCACATGCTGGGAATGCCGTGGCATGATCATATAGCCTTGAACTCCTAGGCCCAAGGGATCCTCCCATTTCACCTTCCAAGCACGTAAGACTACAGGTGCATGCCACCATGCCCAGTTAATTTTTTAATAAACATGTGGTCTCACTTGTTGCCCAGGCTGGCCCTAGATTTTCTAAACACACATATACATGTACACATACACAGTTAATTTTCTAGAGTTGTGGTGTTCAATACAGTAGCCACTTATGGGAATTTATATGAATTAAAATTAAATAAAATTTAAAACACAGTCCTACAATCACACGAGCCATATTTCAACTCCTCAGTAGCCACTTGTGGCAGTGGCTTCCATATTGGACAGCACAGAATTAGAGACTATTTCCATCATGGCAAAGTTCTATTAGGTAGCCCAACCTAGAGCACCTATTTGCTCTTCTACCTCAGGACTCTTGTTCCTTTTAGAATCCTTTACCTATAATTTTTATAAAGGTGAAACTTTTAAAAAAAATCACAACTTAAATCAATACTAATTAGCTTCCTCCCAGCTCCTAAGGGAAAGCTGTCCAGCTAGTCTGCTAATAGATCTTCTAGAATAGTTAGCTTAGCAGGGTGTGGCATCGTAGACACTGAAAGAACATAAAGTCAGCTAAACTAGTTTTAGGCTGTCTGACCCTAACCTATTTCTTTAGATAATTTTCCTAGATAATTCTTAATAATAGCTAGAAGGAGCCGCTCTGAGGCTAAGTGGTGTGTTGAGAAAGATACTGAGGTATCTCCATAAAAATTTGCACAATAAATAGAGAGTAATAGCTCCTTTAGAACTACATGGCACACTGCACTACGAATTCCTGCTGCGAGGCTTTGAAGTTGGGCGGAGATGCCGAGATGCGCAGAGCAATGAAGCACTTTGATGCAGCTGGAAGCATCTTCAAAGCCTCCAGAGGGAAAGATTAAAACAACTACCTGTAACCAATTGTTCTGGTCTTTTGTGTGTATGTTGGTGGGGGCAGGGGCTGGACCACACAAACATTAAACAAATAAACCAGAAACTGCATGGAAGCACTGCACCCAAACTAACTATAACAAAGTGAAACAAAATATAGGCTATTTAACACTTC